GGTGAATGCAGAAACTACATGTATTCTAGCTAGCAGACCCAGACTAACTGTTTTTGAGGATAAATGGGCTCTGTAATCTTGAACTTGCTGCAAACTGACCCTGACTAATAGAAACATGTGTATTTTATGTGTGTGTGTGTGTGTGTATTGCAGAAGGTTTGACTGGTTAACTTCGGCCAAACAGGAAACCAAACTAACACAGGTACTAACTAAACCACACCCTTTACCTGTACGTCATCGTCATGTGACCAGAACTTGCATTTGTTAAAACAGTTATATAAATAGTGTTTCTATGTTGTTAAAGTCACATTATTTACTTTCCTCTTACGCTTTATCATTCCTCCACCTGTATGCAGTTCTCATCATCCACTAGTATATACAGTAAATGGCATTGGGTATTACTAATATTGTTGATCTTTGGATAAAAGCATCCGTTGAATGTAAATGCACACTTGTGTTTGTTGATTCTGGCAGAAGAAGAAGGGAGGCATGGAGACGGATGACTTCCGGGCCTGTCTGATCTCCATGGGTTATGATCTGGTAAATAACTAATGATGTCTGGTTTCGTAAAACAACATCTGATGTGTGTGTTTCTACGGAGGCGTATTGCATTCACTTGAAGAAAAAAAATCTACTCTGTTTTTCTGAATTAATGAGTTAATTTTTCATGAGAAAATTTATTTTTGCTGTTTTTCTGAATTAACTCATTAATTCCGAAAAACAGAGCAAAGAAAAAAAAAATCCATTAAAAATTAACTCATTAATTCAGAAAAACAGAGCAAAAATTTTTCTCATGAAAAATTAACTCATTAATTCAGAAAAACAGTGCAAAAAAATTTTTTCTCATGAAAAATGAACTCGTTAATTCAGAAAAACATAGTAGATTTTTTTTCTTCAAGTGAATGCAATACGCCTCCGTATGTTTCTGTAACTGGGGTTAAAAGTCCATAAATGAATGATCATATCCGACAGGAGCCTTACACACACGCGTGTCATGTCTGTGTTGTGTGTGTAAAGATGTGAGGAATGTTCTGTGATGTCCGTCAGGGTGAAGCCGAGTTTGCGCGGATCATGTGTTTGGTGGATCCCAACGGCTCCGGGAAAGTGACGTTCCAGGCCTTCGTGGACTTCATGACCCGCGAGACCGGAGACACGGACACCTCGGAGCAGGTCGTCGCCTCCTTCAGGATCCTGGCTGCGGATAAGGTCAATACACATACACACACACTCTGTCTCTCTCACTCACAGCACTCTCTCTCTCTCATACACACACACACACACACGTCAAATTTTTAGATTTATGGATTTGAATTGCAAATTAATTTCCATCTATTTTAAAATAAACAAACTAATAAACTTTTTTTATTTTTTTATTTCATTTATTAAACAAATATTTATTTATAAACTTTTTCAAAGCATTCACAGAAAGCTTCATACAACTAAAGTTATAGCTTTTCCCACCATTATAACCCTTTCCGTCGAAATAATTAATGCCATGCATATTTGACATGTCAGATTTCTGTACTCAAATCTATTTGATTAATATGAATTAATATTAATATTATTCTCTTTGAATTTATTTAAAATATCATGTTTTCGAGATGCATTTATTCAAATGACTTGTGCTTAATATTCTTCTCATGTATGACTGACGAATATTCATTACATTAACAGTTTTTTTTAAAGCTGCCAGACATTTTTGATCTTTTTGTACAACAATTTCATGCATCCCAGAATATTTTGTTGTATGAATATCTGTACATGTAATATATCAAAAGAAAGAGCACAGCGCCTCTGCTTTTAAACAAACAAAAACAGCTTATTCTAGCCTCATGCGTTCTTTTTTATCAACATTTGAATATGGGTTATTTGTTTTTGTATGACGTTTTTGTCTAAATCGAATTAAAATGAATCTTTGCTGGCGCTTGCAACGCTAAGGTCATGGGCTCGATTCCCAGGGAAAGCACCAACTGTTTAGAATGTAAATATATACCTTGAAATGCATTTTTAGTCTTTTTGGATTAAAGCGTCTGCCAAATCCATAAATGTAATCTTGAAATGAAATTTGGCCTAAATCTTTTTTGAAATCATATGTAAATACCTTACATAATCAATAAGCATGCATATATTCATCACTGGCCTGTTGGTGTGATTCCAGCCGTATATTCTGGTGGACGAGCTCCGTCGGGAGTTGCCCCCGGATCAGGCGGAGTACTGCATCTCCAGGATGCCCCCTTATACAGGACCTGATGGAGAGCAGGGGGCTTTGGATTACACTGCGTTCTCTACGGTCCTGTACGGAGAGAGCGACCTCTAGTGGCCCAGAGCCCAGAGGACCGCATGTGTTTCGCTTCTCTGAATGCTGACCTGATAATCCTCATTGTGTGTGTGTGTGTGATCTCTGACAACACTTACTCAAAGTGCAAAAGTGTTTCATTTCAAAATAAAACATTTTAGACATTGCATTATGATCCATCAGGCTTTTGAGTGAGTTTTACTGTGGGCTCCAAATGTCTGAGACCATTAATTTTTTTTTTTTTTTTTAGATCTCTAAAATAATTCTCTTTATCTATTTTAATATCTGACTACTATATTAGAATGCTTGTTTTTTCCCCTGTTTTGTTTCTTCAATATAGATTTCTAGTTAATAAAGTAAATGAGTGACAGTCAGATGTTGGTCAGTGAAGCTCTTCAAATATCTCAGATCTTGCTGGAAAACATCATGACCATCATCAGGTTTAGCTTACGGACACATCAAATAATAACATCCTCAAAACCTCAATATTTCAGTTATAAAATGAATAATTTTTATATTTAGAGCACAATAATTAGTGCTCTCAGATTTTCGGAGCCACTGTACATCCTCATGATGAACTATGAAATGCTTTCAGGCTGGTTATGCTCAGTGCACTGCAAATAAATCTAAATAATAAAAAAACATCTGTGCGCTTTTTCTTTTGTTTCAGTAAAAGTAGCCAACCTTCTTAAAGGGGACATATCATGCAAAATCCACTTTTTTAGCCCTTAAATGCATTTTGTTGTACATTTGGAGTGTTATAAGTACAGAAAATATGAAATTATTCTCTTCGGGTGCTTCGTTTATATCTTTATATTCTGTTTTGGTCATATTTTTCAACCTGTTCAGATTTTTCTATTCTCTATTACGTTTTTTGAATAATTACGTCACCGTATTTGCAGCGGAACTGCCAAATAAAGACATCGACTACCGGTCCAACACTTCGAGCAATCCGCCATTATTATTTCTCGCTCCGATTTTGTAGTCCGAGCTCAGGGCAAGTCAAAATGTTCGGATGTAGTGACCTGAAGCACTTTAAGGATCAACAACCTCCGCCAGTATACAGAAGGGTTTGCCGATCAACTTCGTCTGAATGAGGGGTAACGTTAAATTCCTTTATCATTTAGCTGCTGTGTTTTCCGATGCTTTCTATCATATTATTATCAATACAGATTGTTTGTGGTAAGATCAGACCGCAGTCATTTATCTTGTCAGTGTGCTTGTTTTAATATGAGAAATAGTCAACTTTCACTAATAACACAACATAGTTAACTTGCATACCACTGCATGAAGACGTTGTTCTGCAGGTTCGTCGTCGTCTTTTTCAACTCGCTCGCTCTGGCTCGAATATGTAGGCTTGATGGACAAGTCTTCCGTTGTTGACATTTTGTTAACGTGGTGTAAATAAAAATGTTCTTTGAAGCTACAATCAAACTACAATAATGGCCGAACGCGGGGAGTTGAATGTCTTAAGGCGGAGTTTTTATCGATCACCGGCGTCCATCTTGTCACAGGCAAGCTGATGTAAGATTATTGGTCAGCACGAACACAACTACTCTTATCTCGTTGAAATCTTGACGGATTTACAAACGGTTTGGTTTCTTACAAACGTTATTAACGTGGCTATAATTATCTGGATGATTACTTATTTATACAATTATTATTTATAAGTATGCTGTGTCATAACTACATCTCTGACGTTTAGAACAAACCAAACCGTTTGAAAATCGGTAGAAAATTGAGCAAGTTATGGTAATTTAAAAAGTGCATGCACCATCAATGTTACGAGTGAGCGAGCTGCCTGTGACAAGATGGCCGCCAGGTGCAGACGTCGCCAGCAGCGTGGACGAGATATCTATGTATCTGTGGTTGAACCGACCGTGAACTCGTGTGTGTGTGCGTGTGTGTGTGTGTGTGTGTGTGTGTGTGTGTCGCTGGAGCAGAAAGACGAGTTTCCAGTGCGATAACCTTCAGCACAACACACACACCTGTGTTCGACCAGTCAGACCTGCTTCACACTGATGTTCCTCACACACACTGAAGATCTAATCACCACTGCCACGTGCTCGACACACTCTGTGAGTGAGGAAGTGAGGAAATATAACACACTAATCACTCTCACCGCCACACACACACACACACACACATCTGCAAGACCCTCGTTGACTATATTTGATTATTTTCAATATTTGTTAACAATGAGATTGTGTATTTCACTCTGATTAATAAAGGACGTCGTCACACATCAAGAGAACGTGATGATATCAATCTGTGAACATTAACACGTTTAACTCACGGATGGGTGAATCTCACCAAGCATTTCAACACTCACAAAATAAAATGATATTTTGCATTCATAAAACGAAGCCTATTTCAGCGTTGGGGAAAGTAAGGCGAGTTATGCAATCAGATTAAACTAGTAAAGCAACATCACTTTTAGATTTACAACAAAATATCCGAGTTACTGCGAGAAAACATAAACCAAAAGTAATGTAATGCATTATTTATATTAGTGATGATTAATCACGTCCAAAAAAGCTTGTTTACATTAATAAACGTGTGTGTGTACTGTGTATAATTATTTTGTATACACACATGCATGCGATTAATCGTTGCCCAGCAATTTCTATAGAGTTGGTTTTAGGAGTAAAGTCTTCCCCAACAAGAACGATACGATTTTTTGCATTGAAAAAGGTCACAGTGCAATAGTGCTAAAAATGGCTTTATTAAATATAATATCTCATTAAATATGAGCTGGAGATTGATGATGCATGCAAACTCCTGTAGTGCTTCTAAGTTCACTTCACGGACATGTAAAAGAACCGCTAGTCTCGCTTGTCTCTCGGCCGGAGGTACGCGAGGTAGAAGAAGCGTGAGAAGAGCAGCAGGTAGCTGAGGTACATGGCGGAGCCGTAGAAGATGTTGTCCGTGGTGGACACACAGTTCACGTCGTGTTTCCAGCGGTGGACGAGCGCCAGCACGCCGAGACCCGCCAGCATCTGACACATCTGCATCAGCGTGATCAGCACGGCGAACGGCTTGGGCACGCGGACGCCGGCCGCTCTGGCGGTGTAGTAGCTGTACATGAACGCGTGGACGCTGTAGTTGAGGGTCATGAACCAGCTGCCGCCGGCCACGTGATCTTTATACGAGTACCAGCTGTACAGCAGGACCGTGATGTGATGATACCAGTGCAGGAAGATCAGACGCTGCTTACGCAGGACGATGAACACCGTGTCACCTGACACACACACACACACACACACACACACAGAGGTGAAGGAGACCATCACAGAACAGCTTTCATTCAAGAACCAGCAAAAAGAGTTGTTTAAAGTCAAGGAAAGGTCATGGACAAATGATCTCCAGTAACACTAATATCATGTTCAGTAGGGTTGGGTATCGTTTGAATTTGAACGATTCCGATTCCTTGTTTCGATTCCGGTTCCTAACGATTCTCAATTCCGATTCTTTTAAGAGGCAGGGTCAAAAAAGTTTAGCTAACCATGCTAACCAACGGCCTTTCTGAAGGAAATACTCCTTCTGTCACAAATACTCCTTTTGTCACAAATTTTGCATTTTGCCGAGATTTCGTTATTTTTAGAAAAGTGAAGCCACACTTGGGACCGCCGACGTAAGCTACTCATGTTCGAATCGCGTGGTTATGCCAACACTTCCGGTAGACGCTTCTTCGTTGGTGTTGTTCAGCGGTTTCTTCTTCCGCTCGACGGACTGTGAATATCAAACTAGGAATCGAAATTTTAACTTTTGAACGATTCCGGGAAAAACGAAAAGTTAGTCTCGGTTTCAATCGATACTCGATTCTCGATACCCAACCCTACTCAGTGTTATCTGCTCTTTAAAAACATTATTTAGGAATCTTTCATAGAAAGTTTTTTCCTTCTGATCTTTCAGTTGGACGTTCCTGTAACATTTTCGTTTCAGAACATTCAAATGCATCATTCTCATAATGTTTGAATATTCAAAAGTAACATTCTTATAATGTTTGAATATTCAAATGTATCATTCTCATAATGTTTGAATATTCAAAAGTAACATTTTTATAATGTTTGAATATTCAAATGTAACATTGTTATAATGTTTGAATATTCAAATGTAACATTCTCATCAGGTTTGAATATTTAAAAGTATCTGTCATAATGTTTAAATATTCAAAAGTAACTTCTTATAATGTTTGAATATTCAAAAGTAACAGTCTTATAATATTTGAATGTTCAAATGTAATATTGTCATAAAGTTTGAATATTCAAATATAACATTCTCATCAGGTTTGAATATTCAAAAGTCTCTTTCATAATGTTTGAATATTCAAAAGTATCATTCTTGTTGTTAGAAGTGATTAATCAATTTGACAGCACTACTATTTATATTACAGTATTTTTTATACACGCACTGTAAAAACGCTGGGTTGTTTGGGTCAAATATGGACAAACCCCCATTTTGAACCCAGCGATTAGAATTGTCCATATTTGACCCAAACAGTGTTTTTTAGAGTGTATAGTTTTTTTGAACAGTAAATCCCACTCCACTTTCTGTCAGTGTGCTCACCTTTCATCCAGCTTATAGATAACATGAGTTATCAGTCAGTGTTACGAGTGTGTGTGTGTGTGAACATCAGTCTCACCGAGCTCAGGCGCTTTACTCAGAGCGAACGCAAACGCCCAGAACTTGCTGACGGGATCGCTGTAGAAGTGTGTGTCACACACTGACTGCCTGAAGCCGTGTGTCGTCAGCACAGAGAACATGTACCAGCTCGTCCTCATCGCTCCTGCAACACTGACACACACCACAGCGATGAGGAAGATCAGCAACACACTGATCCAGAACCGTCAAGATCAAATCGACACACCAGAAGACACGTCTGGAACATCGTTTGTCCCGATGGCAGTGATCATACAAACGTCTATTCTTTTTATGATGAAAAAAATGAGAATATGGTGCAAACTTCATTTATTTCAGGAATTGCATGTACAGTGAGATATTTCAAGCTTTTATTTGTTATAATTTATTCTAATTTTGAATTTGGGTTTTCATATCTGTAAGCCATAATCATCAAAATTATCTCACTTTGCATGTAATGAGTCTATATAATATATTAGTTTCACCTTTAAAGTCTAATTATTGAAATAAATGAACTTTTGCACCATATTCTCATTTTTCCAGTTTCACCTGTAATCCTCCAATAAAAAAAATAAAAAAAATAATAATAAAGTGATACAAAAGAATAGTTGGCATTATAGTGTGTTTTTTTTTTTTTTTTTGGAATGATGGAAACTGTTTAATTGTATAATTGAGTTAATTGTGTGTGTGTGTGTGTGTTGTGTTTTTAAGCATGAATGTATGTGTGTGTTTTAATGTTTCTCACCTGAATAAAGCGAGACTCAGAGACCAGAAGACGAGCGGCGTCCGCAGGTCCAGCTTCGGCCTGTGCTTCATAAACTCACGACACACACATATGACCAGCGCATACAGGCCGGACAGGACGAACGCTGCTCTCCTGCAACACACACACACACACTCGTCAACTCATGATTCACAGATCACAGAGATATATTAGTCATGCAGATATTAGGATATTAAAAGTGACGGAATGCAAAGAAAGCGTATTTTATATAGCACAAATGTATTATTTTTAAATGATTCAAAAATAGAAAATATTAAAATGTAAGGCATCTTTCTTTTATAACCCCTCCCATTCATAATATTATAAATCTAAAGTTAGTAGTTATTATTATATAACATTATTATACTGTATATGTACTGTACTGGTAAATGTATTTTATATTTATTTGATTATGTAATCTATTAATAGATGAATAACTAACTAATAATTGTTTTATTTTCATCACATTTTATTGTTTTATTTTAATCGTATTATTATTTTGTTTCAGTTTTCATTTTTACATTTTTTACAGCATTTCTCTAAACTCTTCCACAGATACTTATCATATTTCCACTCTTTTATTTGAATCTTGTCATCCATAACAACGTCTCTGTCCTGATATAAACCATCAAACAAGATTTTCACAATCAGCTGAAAGGTCAAAGGTGAGCAAATCATTGCAGTCCTTCACGTGACCCTGCTCTTATCACACACACACACACACACACACACACACATCTATCAATCAATCACAGCAGAATAGAGTTCAGAAAGTTCACAAACACACACACACACACACACATTAATACACAAAAACACAAGGTCTTTTTTGTTTGTTGGTTATTAATGTAATTGTGATCTTTGTGATGAAAGGTCAAAGCCTGATGACTTTACTGCCTCACTTTAATGAGCAGGGAGTGTTTAACGCAAACTAGACTTGCTTTACTAATGTGTAATATCACGCTAAAATAATATCTAATATGTTAGATAGCCTATTTGACATAATGCACAATAAACATTTTAAGAATCTTGCACTGTATGCTACTGTATTATTAAATAATGGATATTATTATGTGAAGGCTATTATGTACATTGCACATCACTATGTGTGTGTGTGTGTGTGTGTGTATATATATATAGAGAGAGAGAGAAAGAAAGTGAGAGCTGTTATATTCTATAATATTCTGCTTTTGCATGATAATATCTACTCTTATGCTCTTATTTTTATTATGAGCGCACATCAGGTTAATAGATGAGATGAATCAGTCAGTGATTCATTTTCGGCTCAATTGACTCACCAGTTCTGCTGAAACCATTCAAGCGCGACTCGATCATCAAACTGACGCTCAAAGTCAAACGCGTGAAGTGAATCGTTCATCTTCATCGTCATCGTCAAGTGTGCGACTCTTCTGTGGATGAAGTGATGAAGGTGTTTCCGATAGGATCGCTGAGGTGAGCAACACGAACACTTCTGCCGAACTTCATGATTAACGCGCGAGAGGGAGGAGTCAGAGCAGAGAGCCCATCCAATCACAGTCGATGGATCTGCATATTTCATAATACGAGGGACTACGAGTTTTATATTCATGAGAAAAGATTTGTACACTTAAATCTTGTAGAGCTTGAAAACATTGCACAATCTTTGAATCTTTTAAATTATTATTAATAATAAAAAATATATATAATGGAAGTCTAGACATCAACAGCTTAAAAAGGATCCTGTACTTGTTTAAATTTAACTAAATCACTTGCTAACCATCTGTGAAAGGTTATTTTTTTAATCAAATAATATTTAAACTAAATTAATAATATATACACAGTACATATATATATATTACAGTATTTCTCTAGTTTTTTTTTCTACTGATACTTATTATATTTCCACTTTTTGACTTATTTATTTTAATCTTATTTAATTTATTTATTTTATTACTTGAATCCAATCAAAGCTTTGTATTAAGTAGAAAACCTCTACCATCCTGAAAGGGGTTGAGAAGCATCCAGGCCAGTTTCCTTCTCGACTTTCTGACTACTAAACAACTGAAACAAAACTGAAGCAACCCTGGCTTGTCAGCGGACTATAAAGCACAACTCACAAAAGAAAGCCAACAAACACCAACAAACTCCACCATTGGATCGTGGATTTAACACAATCTAATGCTGCCTGTCACTAAAGTCAGTATACTATACGAAAAATGTGCATAGTTTTGAATATATTAAAATTTTACATTATTAATATTAATATTTTACATATGATGTATGCATGGCATCTAACAAAGGCATGTAAAGTCCCACTGAAGTGCCTCGAAACGGGAGCATTATTCAATGTGTTGATATATGTAATTTCCAGTGAAGCGGGAAGACAGGGCGGGGCTTACCGAACAGCCCCTCCCCTTTAAAAAAAAAAAACCAATAGTGTATCGCGTCTAGACCGGAGCTAACGTGACGCAAACGTGAAACATACTTCATTCGCCCCAATGGAAACATTTACATTGTCTGAATCATTCCCTATAATGTAGTACACAAATAGTACAAGTGACTGATTTATGTCTATTAATAAATTAGGGGGCGGGGCTTCAAATTCTAGAGGGCATTTGATTGGACAGAAAATCTGATGAGATCTGAAGTGCAGAGTGATGTAATCATTGAACCATCCTGATGGAAGTAAGAGACTGTAAGTTTTGAATATCTTCTAAACGCGAATTTTGTCATTGTTTTGGACCACACTACACTAGCTTATAGATAACGGTAGACTAACATTCATTTTTTGTTGTTGTTGTTGTGATTTCATAGGGACTTTAAGGCAGTCAGGCAATTCGGTTTATAATGTCTTTAAAAATGTATTAAAAACATAAATTACCACTCCCCCAATCTCCCGCAAATAATAATAATAATTGGTATTATATTTAAAAATGTTTGCGCTGTTAGGTCGTAAAGAGACTTTTATTTTGAAGAAGTGCGCTGTTGTGTTTATTATGTCGCTGCTGCTTCCGGCTTCACTGCTATAGTTTTCATAATCATATATCAGTAAACATGCGGACAGCTTCATAACCTCACTCGCTGCAAGTATGTATTTCTCAACTAATATTAAGACACAGTTCATTCATTAATCAGTCAAACTCTTATTAGTCACACCCGATACGAACGAACGGCCTCATTCAATGATGTCAGTGCACGAACACACACTACATGTGTTGTCTGTTGTTCTCGTGTGTTATCAGTGTGTGACAGCTTGTGTATTCTTATGGGCGTTGTAGTATGAAACACCGACTTTATTAACATTGCAAACTCTGTGTCAGTGGTGTTAGATGACTGCAAACATGAGAGTGCTGCTGCTGAAAGAGCCGAGAGAGAGTGAACATGAAGCAGACCCTTATATCAAGGTAATAATAATAATAATAATATGCTAATAATCATCATCACAATAGCTCTGAGAGAGTAATATTGGGCTTTCATTTCAGGAACTGGCTTCATACGGACACACAGCTGCTCTGATCCCGGCTCTGTCGTTCACATTTGTGTCTCTGAATGAGCTTTTAGAGAGGGTGAGTGTTTCTGTTCTGAAGGTGAATCATGTTTGCAGTGTGTGTGTGTGTGTGTGTGTGTGAACTGTGTGTGTTTGTCAAACTCCAGCTCTTCCAGCCCGAGAGGTTCGGAGGACTGATCTTCACCAGTCCCAGAGCCGTGGAGGCCGTCAAGACCTGCTTAGACTCGCACGCACACACACACAGTGAGTATGGATCACACACACACACACACACACTATAACGTCCTCTAACCGTGTGTGTTTGTCCTCCAGAATGGGACGCCGTGAAAGACGAGTGGAAAGCGAAGTCCGTTTATGTGGTTGGAAAAGCGACAGCATCTTCAGGTACGTGTCACTCCAGCTGAACACACACACACACACACACACACAGTCCTTGCAGGTGTTTGGCCACAGGTGGATGTGATTCACACACTCTTGTCGTTTCCCTGATCAGTGTTTTACGGGGAAGGAAGTGTGTGTGTGAACGCCAGCTGTGCCTCTGCATCACATGACCTTCATCTCACATCATCCTCGTCTTCGCAATTACTGCATACACCTTTTTTTATTAAGAACATGCCTAGATATATATACTCTCTAACACACACACACACACACACAGTACCAGTCAAAAGTTGGGAAAAACATTAAGATTATATAATGTTTCTGAAAGAGTCTCTTCTGCTCATCAAAGCTGTGTTTATTTGATCAAAAATACAGTAAAAACAGTGAAATATTATTTTTATGTAAATCATCTGTTTTCTATGTGAATATATAGTAAAGTGTAATTTGTATCATATTTATATTTTGTGTAATTCGTATTAGAGTGAAGACTGGAGTAATGATGATAAATTCAGCTTTGATCACAGGAATAAATTACACTTTACTGTATATTCACATAGAAAATAGATGATTTACATTAGAATAATATTTTTGATCAAATGACTATATATATATATATATATATATATTCACATAGAAAACAATATATACATTTTTATGTTTGTGCTGAAATATGGCCTCACACTCATGAATATGTGTGTTCAGCAGTGAAACTGATGGTTTTAATGGTTGTATTGTGTTGAAATGTTTAGTTGCGGATCTGGGTCTGTGTCCGCTGGGGGAGGAAACGGGAACCGCAGACACACTCTCACTGCTCATCCTGCAGAGTACGACACACACACACACCTCTCTGAGGCCAGCAGAAGATAACACACTTCTATAGTAACAGGTCTGCTGTGTATGAGTGTGTGTTCATGAGCTGTGTTAATCGCAGGAGAGAAGCGAGAGAGTCTGCCGCTGTTTTTTCCCTGCGGATCCATCAAACGGGAAGTTCTGCCCAGAGCGCTGAGGAGCCACCGTGAGACCGTCACACACTTACACACACACCACAGCATCCAACATGCTTCATAACAATCCGCGTTAGGGTTATATGATGTTATTGTTACGATTGTTAGAGTATTCTGCACATTTAATAGGTTTATCACCCCAAAATAATCCTATAAAAGAGTTTGTGTGTGAATGTGTGTGTGTTCTGTCCGTCAGGCGTTTCTCTGGAGACTCTGACCGTCTATCAAACGTCTGAACATCCTGATCTGCAGAAGAACATCACGGATTACTTCACGCAGCAGGTGTCGCATATTACACACATATATACGTTTTTAGAGCCAGACCGATATTATCGGCCGATATTAGGCATTTTCCAAACTATCGGTATCGGCAGTTATAATGGCCGATAAATGAATATTTCAAAAATAAAATAAAAACGGATGAAACACGCTTGAACCATGTCATGAGTGTTGGAGTTGTAGAGTTTGTCCACCAGAGGGCGCTCTACACCGTTCTTGTTGGCAACACTCGTTGAGTTGGTCATTGCTTGAATAACAATTAAAAGAACATCCCCATCAGATGTCCAGTTTCAAATAAATAAATAAAATATCGGCCGATATATCGGATTTTAAAACCCAAAAATATTTGTATCGGTATCGGCCTTCAAAATCCTTTATCGGTTGGGCTCTAGTTTTTACATACGTTTTTCTTCTAAATCAGCATTTTTATCCGGCTCTTATGTTTACATTCAGTAATTTCACTTAATGGCCATGAAAAGATTATTTATATGCCCTATTTTCAAAAATCAAAAATGCTCATTCAAAAGAAAAAATGTCAGACAGATTTTTGCATCTGAAGTCTTCCATTACATTTATTCATATTAAAATGTTATATAAACAATATATTTATATTTAAGTTAATATACTTCCATTAATGTTGATGGGCATTTTACATTTTAATTTTTACACATTTTATTTAAACATGATTATATTTTCAAGTGCAGAGATTTTTAAAATGTTACATTATTTAAATAGAATTTAAGTGTATAAAATAAGTGTATATTGATATCCAGAATCAATGTTGATGGTTGCATATTAAATTACATGCATAATTATTTACATTTTATTTGAACCATATAATCACATTCCTGTTTATAAACGTAATAAAATTAAGCGTTGATTTATGATGTAAATAATGCCTATCAGTGGTGAAAGTTAGCCCAGGTGTCACCTGTTACTCACCTGTGTGTGTGTGTGTGTGTCCAGGGCGTCCCTGCTAGTGTGGCGTTCTTCAGCCCGTCAGGAGTGACGTTCTGTTTTGACTTGTTGAAGAGGCTGTCAGGATCTCAGCTGGAGCAGATAAAGGTGTGACACACACACACACACACACACACAGAATATAGCAGTGACAGAAGTGTGTTCTCCAGTTCGCAGCGATCGGACCCACGACGGCAGACGCACTGAAGTCTCACGGACTGACGGTCACATGTTGTGCTGAGAAACCCACGGCTAAACACCTCGCCACTGCCATCACACGGGCCCTGCAGTGACCTCTGACCTCTGACCCTCAGCCAGGGTTTAAGGAAGCTTTATATGGATATTAGATATAAATGATGTTTTTAAATGAACTTTTAATATCTATCTTTATTAGTAGGAAGAAATCACCTTTCATCATCAGTTTATCAGAATCATGATCATGTTTTGCGCTGTATTTTATTAATATGAATCTCCTTATCGATGTGTTTAATGTTAAATCCAGGTAACTTTCAGTGCGATGTGAATGTGAACTGGTGATTTAAACATTTCTTTGTGATGGAAGATGCTTTATAAAGTCCAGCAATAAAAAATATTTTGTGGATGTTCTCCTTAAATAATGTTGATGAGCACAAAAAGGTTACATTTGATTTTAATTACATTTCAAATTATTTATTTATTTTTCAATATAAAATAAATATACAATATTCATCAAATGTATATTCTTAATGTTGATGGGCAGAAATGTAAGTAACTTTTTAATTGTATTTAATTAATATCATTATATTAAAGTAGACATGTCAGAATTTTAAATAACTCACATTTTTAATTACATGTGTAATTGATTTTATTTAAATCATATCATTTAGGGTAAGAGATGGACGCAGGTGTCATCATGACAGTGACACCGGTGAGTGGCGCGCGGGTGCACGCGCTCAGGTGTGTTTCTCGGGCGGGTGCACGCGCTCAGGTGCGTTTCTCGGGCGGGTGCACGCGCTCAGGTGTGTTTCTCGGGCAGGTGTGAGTCGCGTGGCTTCATATGAAGGTGTCGGTGTTCAGTCTCTGTGTTTAAATAATCCTCCGCTGGTTCACACAGAGGCGCGAGCACGTGAGGTAGTCATAAAGACACGCCCCCTCTATAATCTATAGACATTAAAGTTAAACCGCGTGTCGAGTTCAGTCGCATTCACAGTTG